CAGATATCTCACTGGCTGAAGCTGCTGCCAGGTCGGAGCCCAGGCTGGGCTGGGTTTGGGTTTTTTGGTTTTTTTTTTTTTTTTTTTTTTTTTTTTTAAAAAAAAAAAAAAAAAAAAAAAAAAAAAAAAAAAAAAAAAAAAAAAAAAGCGGTTTTTTTTTGTGCTGGAAAGAAAAAACAGGACGTGTTGAACAGGGTTCTGCAGGCAAAGGGGTGCCCGGCATGCAAAGTAGTGTGGTATCTTTGTCTCAATTAATTTTATTTTTTTAAATAAACGTTATCTAAAAAAAAAAAGAAAACAACTTTATTTCCAAGCGATTTTCTTCGGTGGGAAAAGACTATAAAGAAGAAAGAAAGAAAAGAAAGAAAAGAAAATTTTACTGTTTACTTTTTTATGTATAAAAACTTAAAGGCAAAATTTCCTTTCTGCTCTTAATAAAGAAGAATTCTGAGGGCAACAGTTGGCCTGAGGTGTGTGTGGTGCTCTGTCCTGCTCGGACTTGGGATTTCCAGAGCAGTTTTCCAACGTTTTTCTGTGGATCATGTTGTCATCTCCAGGATCTCCAGGAGCTTTTGGGGTTTCTTTTTCCCCCTTTTAATACCATGGTTTTTGTTTTAATACCATTTTAAATGTGGTGAAACTGCACCGGGGACACTTAATCGGGTCTAATTGCTTAAAACAGGGTTTAATTGCTTGGTAATGAAGCTCACAGGGATTGAGGGGAAGTTCAGCCCCTGAGCTCGGTGGCCAGAGCAGAACCTGGCATGGACGTCAAGGAGCTGAATTTTGGGGAAGGAGCCAGTGGGAATACTGGGAATGTCTGGAATCCCACCCTGGAGCATCCCAGGGAAGGTGGGAAGAAAACGAAGCCCCCGGAGCCACAGCAGAGCCTGAGGACAAGGACCTGTCGGGGACAAGGAACTGAGCTCAGCTCAGGCTCAAAACAACAAAAACCAACCCCAAAAAAGCCCCACCCAAAGAGCAGCCACTCGAACCCCCCTGGCCCCAGGAAGGGGTGACGTGGCTTTGTTTCCTGAGATCCCCCAGAGACCCAAAATGGGCTCAGGAAGCGCCGAGCAAAGCCTGTCCCTTGTTCTTGGCTGCCTGCAGGGGCTCCCTGTGCCCCGGGGATGAGGAGGAGGCTCCTCTTGGCTCCCCCTCTTCCCCCCTGAGCTCCAGCTTTTAGTCCCTGGGAGCAGCTGGATGAGCTCTTTGTGCTGGGGGTCCCCAGGGGTCCCTGCCAGGCTGGGCCTGAGGGAGGGGTTGGGTCCTGCATCCTGGCACAGCTCCCAAAATCCTGCACGTTCCCTAGTGCTGGGAGCCTGGCACTGCTGGAGCCTGGCAGTGCTGAGCCGTGCCTGGCATCCCATCTGAGCTGTAACTGGAGCTCTGAGAGCTCCTGGCTTGAGTTTAAATTGAGTTTAACTCCGAGCTGGGGCTGACCCCGATAATTCAGCGCCTTTCCAAGGGCTGAGCAGGGCAGGTCTGCAGGGGGAGGGTTGGAGAGGGCCCCTCACAAACCACATTTCCTTTCCCATCACCAAAAGTAGGTGCAAAAAGGCTGCCTGGAAAGTCCCTCCCTGGGGTTCACGTGGTGCCCTCGAACCAGAATCCTTCCCGTTGGATCATCAGACCCAGCCTGTGACCACACACCTCAAACCCATGGAAACCCAACCCAGTCCTCGGGGCTTTGGGGTGAAGCTGCTCCAAATCATTTGTCCCCTTGATGGCTGGAGAAGAACCAAAGTCTTCAAAGGGGTTGTTCGGGGCTTGAACTTTCCTCGAGGAAATGCAAGAGGGCTCCTTTCCCTGAGCTTTCCCCTCCCTGGAAGTTTGGATGCCCCCAGGCAGGACAAAGTTCCCGTTTCCCTGCTGGTGTGGGGTTCCCAGGGAGCAGTGCCGGCCCTGCCGTGGCCCTGGGGCTGGGGCAGTCCCTGGAATCAGTTATAAGGTAAATAAACAGCCTCTCCCCTGGATTTCCCAGCACAGTCTGTGCCCACAGGTCGTGCCAGATGTGCCTGTGGGGCTGGGAAGGGGAGCAGGAGTCTGGGGGCTCAGCCTGATGGGCTTTTTGCACTTCCCTTTGTGCCCAGAAGAGGCTCAGGAGGAGGAACCTGAGCAGCAGCACCTGAGCACACCCTTCTAAACTAACCCAGCCTGTTCTGCCCAGTTTTCTGCCCCTAAAACTGGAAAAACCAGCTGGGAACTCGCCCTTGGTGTTGGAGGGGTGCCTGTCTGGGAGCTGCTGCAGGAGCTCCTTGTTGTGATCAGCAGTTTACACAGGCAAGAGGCAGCTCAGGACACCTCAGGGCCCCTGTCTGGGCCCCCATTATGTTCCACATAACATTGTTCCCCTCTTCCCATCCTGCCCTGAGCGTCCCTCGTGCCCCCAGTGCCCTGGGGGAGGCTGGAGTGGAGCTGCAGAGGAGTTTGTCCCTCCCAGCCTGCAGAGGTGAGGGCTGGAGGAGGCTCAGGGGAGGTGGGAACACTCGGCCCTGGGAGGGTGGATCGAGGCAGGACTGATTGCTGGCACTGGCACAAGGTGACACACATGGCATGGCAAGGAGCTTATCTGCCCCGGGGCAGGGCCTGGATCCCAAATCAGGCCTGGATCCCAAATCAGGGGCTGCCCGAGCGGTTGGAATGGGGTGAGTTGGCCAGGGCTCTGCTGGGAACTCTGTAAACAATCCAGCTGAACAAACCAGCACTTTCCAGCCCAGGGAAACATTTTTGGCGCTGTTTTCCTGCCTGTTGGAGGCTCCCGTCAAGTGGTGGGTGAATCTGGAGCGGGAAGGAGGATTTAAAAATATCCTGGGAGTTGTGCTGAGCTGCTGCAATCTGAACCTGCCCCTGCTCCCAAAAACCCAGCTGCCTTTTCCCCAGCAATCTTTGCCCCCACCTACGAGCAGGTGGTTGAAGAGAGGCAGAGCTCAAAGAGAGAAATGAGGGATTTTATTCAGTGTCAGCCCTTCCAGCACAGGGTTTCCTTCCTTCCCTGATCCAGGTCTGTGTGGGGATGGTGTTTGTGGCAATCCTTGGTCTGTCCCCCACTCTGGGCATTAAAGGGGGGGGTGTCAAAGCTCCTCCCAAACTGCCAGAACTTAAAGGGAGTTTGTAAAAAACGAGGGAGGGACTTTGTGCATGAGCAGAGAGGGGACAGGGCAAGGGGGGATGGAGCTGAACTGCCAGAGGGAGGGATAGGTGGGATACTGGGAACGAATTCTTCCCTGGGAGGGTGGGGAGGGGCTGGGATGGAATTCCCAGGGGATGCCCCATCCCTGGAAGTGTCCAAGGCTGGATTGGAGCCACCTGGGATGGTGGGAGATGGCCCTGCCCAGGGCAGGGGTGGGACTGGATGGGCTTTAAGGTCCCTCCAACCCAACCCATCCTGGGATTTAATGATTCCAAAGCCTCCCCCGGTCACTGTGTGTACCCCTTGGTGGCAGCTGGTGCAGTGACTGCTTGGGAAAATAGCTATATTTGAATTCCAGGCTGTGTGTGTTTTCAGCAGCTGAGGGATAACCCTCTGTTAGGTTTTTCCTCCAGCAGGAATTAAACAATCCCCCCAGTCCAACTCCTCAGGTGATTCCCAATCCTTTTATAAAGAACCACTCCCCAAACAAGTCCCACTTCCCAGGTTTCTCAAGGAGATGGTTTTTGGCTTCACAACCCAAGAGTTTGTTGTCTCCTCACCGTGGGGATGAACAAGCAGGGAAGGGGGGAGCAGGTGGCCTTTTCCAAAGGGGTTACTCCTGACAGGTGCCCTTGATTTCCCACACCATTCTCCGCTGTCAGTTGAACTTCCAAGTATAAAAATATTTAAAAACCCCACCCAAACCAAACCCTCTAAGCTTGATTTCCCTACAGTTAACCCTGTACCACTCTCTGCCCATGAGGGGGAACTTGTGGAGCCACAGAGACACCAAAACCCCCCTTTTTTCCCCAGCCAATAATTGCTGTTCCCCCTCTAAACCCAGGTGGGACTGGAACTGCTTGTTGCCCCTGCCCAGGTGAGTTTCTGTCCTGAAAAGCTCTGAAATAACCGACCTTCCCCTCAGGGGGTTTGGCCAAAGGGGCCCAGCTCTGACAGCAAAACCTCGGGCAGTGTCAGTGTTGGTGTCAAATCCCTCCCTGGGGATTTTGGGACCCTGCAAAAGGGGGTCAAACTGGATTTGGAGCCAGGCCAGAGGAGGCACCAACGGGATCAGAGGCTTGGGAATGTTCCCCTGGAGAAGGGAAGGCTCCAGGGACACCTTGGAACCCCTTCCAGGGCCTGAAGGGGCTCCAGGAGAGCTGGAGAGGGACTGGGGACAAGGGATGGAGGGACAGGACACAGGGAATGGCTTCCCACTGCCAGAGGGCAGGGACAGATGGGAGATGGGGAAGGAATTGCTGACTGGGAAGATGGGGAGGCTCTGGAATTGATTTCCCAGAGGATGCCCCATCGCTAGAAGTGTCCAAGGCCAGGCTGGACAAACTTGGAGTCACCTGGGATAGTGGGAGGTGTCCAGTGCAGGATGAGCTTTAACCAACCCCCTTCCAACCCACCCCATTCCATGATTCCATGACTGATTCCATGATGTTGTTGGTGTTTCAGGGTCTGCTGTAACACCCCAGAGAGAAGGAGGAAGCTCTGCCTTCATCCCTTGCTGGGAGCAGCAGCTGGCACTGGTTTATCTGGGAATGACCCAGTCCCTCCTGCAGCCAGAGCACCTTTCCCTGCTCCGACATTTATTCCCACTGGGAAAGGGGAACCATCCTGTAGCCCTAAATCTGCTGCAGGATTCACTTTTCAGGGAGCAACTGCAAGGGTTGAAAAGAAGTTGGGATCAAAAGCAGAACCAAGGTGGGGTAACAACACATTTTACTCCAGAACTGAACAAACCCCTCCCCCGAGCTGTTGATCAGCTCTTTACCCCCCCCCCCCCCCCAGCCCCGTGGCCTTCACAGTTTTGCTCCAGCACAAATAAATAACCTGGAAAAGCGTATTTTGCTTTCTTTAGAAAACTAAACTTGGCTCTAAGTGGCAGCAGTGCAAGAGAGGAAACCACTAAACCCACCCACCTGCTCCTGCTGAGGTTAAACAACGAGCTGGGTGCGATGGAAAATCAAACTAACCAGTTGTTGATGACAGAAGCCTCGGAAATGGTTCAAGGGGACGTTCCTTATTTGCAAACCCTTGGCTGGGTTTAATGAGAAACGACTCTTCCTTCCTACTCATCCTGTTTTTCCCTCTAATGATCCCCCTCCAGCCCCTGTCCTGGCTCTGTGTGGTGGGGACAAGGGCTGAGCCTTTGGCAGTGCCAGTCAGTGCCTGGAGTGAGCACACCCAGGAGGAGATCCCGGCCTGTGCTCTCTGCTGTTCTCCAGTGCAGGGATGCCCTGAGGGTACAGAGGGAGCTGCTGTTGGGTGCTGCCCAGGAGCCCCAGGGACTGGGGCAGGCCCAGCTCAGTCCAGGCTGCTCAGCCCTTGGCCAGGGCACCCATCCAGTGGTCCCAAT